ATAGATTCCGTGTAATTAGTATTTTGCAGCAATTGACTACAATTGATTCCATTCCTGTATCTCCCAATGACATTCCGCGGGCGCTGCGTCTGTTCAAAAAGAAGTCCGGGAAGAGGTTTCCTGTAGGAGGTAATTTTTTCCCTGTGGGATCTGCTGCGCGGGTAGTGGAATCCCAACGTGCAAAAAATGGTGCTGCTACACTATGAGGAGCGTGGGCACTGCGCATGTATGCACGCACGTGTGAAGGAGTTAGTCCCATTTTTGTCATTTGTGTTCCAATAATCTTTAGCAAGGTCAACGAAATGCATTCCTGCAAGAAAGCCATAGCGAGAGTGAGGGTGAGGGAGAGGGTGAGGGTGACTGTGTGAGAAGAGAAAACAAAGTATGTTGGTGGATGTAATATAGGTGTTTCAAGCTCTGAGCTTTCTTGGCCCGTTCCCCAGTGACTTCACTCACGCTTTATATATAATATTGTAATTGGAGAGGGGCTTTCTCTGCTTGTTACATGCACCTGCGTGTGTGTGTGTGTGTGTGCGTCATTATTATTATTATTTTTTTTGCGTGTTGCCGCCTTTCTTTTTGGCTGTCTTGTAATGGTACAAAGGTGCTTACGATGCTCCGCGTCTGTCGGGGGAAATATCAGCAGAATTTGCATCGTCTTAGCCAGTGCATCCGTTGAAGCTCTGCGAGCTTTGGATTCGTGGGAAAGCGTGCGCGCCACAGTTCGTGCGGCAGCGGGTGATCTCTTTGTTGATGGCAAGGAGGAGCAGAAAACAGGGACCCGGAGTTGCTTTCGCGACAATGTGGCCCACCGAGTTCTTAGCAAGGGGGTCTCGATGATTAAGCTGTTGTATGGGAAGCTTAAAACAGCGATAAACTCTGCGGAAGCGGTAAGTGGTTTCGCGCATGCGGTGCTGCAAACGTGTACTGCAGGGCAGTAAGATGATACAATCAGGATATGGACAGGTGCAACGAACGGAAGCGCCTCTTCTTCACCAACCCCAAAGGGGGGGGGGGACGAAAAATGAGGAAAAAAACTTTTAAAGTGGCACGACAATGATTATCCCAGCATTGCGTCTGCCGCTTTGTTTTTCAGGAATCTCTCTTTCATTGACGTGACGTCTCTCTTTTGTGCTCCTACATCCCCTTTGCACAGTTACGTAGGGTGTACACCATTGCCATTATATATAGTCGTTTAAATTTTTTCATGAGTTTATATTTTTTCTGTTTGTGTGTGTATGTCCCTTCCAGCTAAAGTTTGGGGGTGTCAGTTGAAGCAAACATTTGGGGGGCGCGTGACTTTTTTCCGCGCGACACATATGCAACTCAACTTCACTTAGATCTTAACTTGTCTGTCACACCATTGTTACTTTGGTCCTCTTACTTGCCGCCTGCGTTCTATTTGTTGCTCTTGTTGTTTTTTCGTCTTTTTGGGTGTTTTTTTTTCTTTTTGGTTTTGTGTTTCTCAGCTTTGTTGTATCGATTCAAACTTGAGCAGCATTGTGAGGGGGGGGGTGGCAATTGTCGCCCACAGCCTTCTATATGCGCTTAGTTCTAGGCTATGTCGACCCTTTCCACAAATGCTGTACTGCTGAAGTATCGCAAGCACAGCGACTCCCATAGTTTGAGTAGTGACAAGCCACCATTGCTGTCTGGTAGTACGCGGCGAGCTCTTGAAGACGCGGCCGTTTCAATTGAAAACAAGGCACTTGCCCCGGATGCTTTTTCCCCGCGGGAGGCGTCGTCGCCAGCCATTATGACACCGCCTGAAGAAGCTTGCATCACGGAGACAAGAAGGAGAAACGTGATTGAAAGCAACAATTCCCAGCGGTTTATTGACGCAGACTGGGATCAAATTAATCATGAAGCAGAGCAGCAATGGTTTAACAAACGTACTTCTTCTCTGTCAATGATCAGTGAAGATCAAGGAAGTATCGGATTTTTAGATGCTGTTCGGTGTCTTAAAAGTGACACATTTACGTGGGAGCCGTATGCTGCATCGCATAGATTTGGAGAACGCAAAAAAAGGAATTGCTTAAGGCTCTTTGTTGAAGGATGTAGAGAGACATTCTGTAGTGGTAGATGTTTTGCTTCGAAAGATAGGGAAGCTTGTGTTGCTTCAGATTCAAAGTCCATCTTGGAGTACGATACTGAGTTTACTTTGGCATTGCCCTTTGTGCCATTGGACCAGAGTCATCCCATTCACCAAAGGTTACTTGCAACCATTCAAAATAATCCTTTTCATCGGAAGAAGGGTGCTGATAATGGTAGTCGTCGTACGGGCGCGATAGACTGGGAAACGCTGGGGTTTCAAGGCAGTGATCCCGCCACAGATCTTCGCTCTACAGGTATTTTTTGTCTGCTGCAGCTGATATACCTCATTGAATATTATGGCGATTTTGCGATGAAGCTTTGGGATACCTGCATAAATGGTGGCAGCGGTGCGAGTGTATATGAAGAACTTCCATTTGTGCTCGTTGGGTCCAATTTTTCAGGCGTGTTGCTTGAAATGTTGAAGGATAATGAGTTTTATGCGGACATCAGGCATCGGGCGCGGACTTTGCCGCCCCCTACGACAAAGGCAGGCCGTCTCCCTCTAGTACGAGATACCGAGCAAGCTCTGATATGTGAATTTCCACTATTTTTTATTTGCTGCGAGTACTATATTGGATGTTTGTTTCTTTTCTGGGAGTGTTGGCAAGATCTGAAGATGCAACGCGATGGCAAACAACCTACAATTGGGGATTTTGGGGTTGTGAAGGCGAAATTATGTGCGAAGCTAAAAAAAAATGGCCCTCAGTATGTGTTTGATACCGCCACAAGGGCCAGAAATTCCGCCAATGGAGACTTTTAATCTGGTGGCACGGCACTGACCAGAAAAGGCAGAGTTGCATAAGGCTGACATGCATACACTTGTTCCAGCCTGTACCCCGCCCGAAGGAGTGGAAGAGAAAGAGAGGAAAAGAGGATGAGGGTCAGTAGTTGGGAAGAAGGGGGATAAGGATGAGATGCGATCGGTGCTTAATGCTTGTTTTTTCTGTTTGCTTTCCGCAGATTTTGAGCTACTCGGTACGCGAAAACTGTGAGATCTTTGCAGCGCGTAAGAACCACCTATCCAAAGCAACACACAGTTAACACGAAATGGTGACACAAACAGGACCACACGACACAAAAGAGACAAAAAAGAAATGGGGAGACAGGAAACAAAAAAAAACGCAGGTAAGAACACTATGAACGCTTTAGGGAGCTACTATAGCCAATGAGCTTACAGGTTGATGTGAACACTGCGTTAGCTCAGCGTCCTTACCAGCGCAGATTGTGAATAACGGCAAGGGCACGCATCGCATCACAGAACGGCAAATGATGGGGTGGTGTGTCTCGTAGTTTCCTTTTTTTACACCTTGCCCACCGCCCGCAGTGACCCTGACGTGTCATCTGTAAAGGGGGAGGAAAATTGTGAGCGAGGTCAAAGGCGTTCACCTCAACTCGTTGAACTGCTACACGACACGACGGTATCAGCCAGCCCAGAAGGTTCGGTGGCACAACTGCGACCTGTTCGTGTGTGCTTAATGTGGGTGCCTACGGTATACTTTTTTTTTGGCCTTTAAGGGCCCAATGCAGCGTAATGGTTTATGCAGGGAGGATACCCGGCTGCCTCCTGCAAATACGCCCGGTGCATCTAATACCGCTTTCCAATTGCTTCCTTCCCACAACGTTTCCTTGACTGAACCTCAATCTTCACTGGCTCGGCAGCAGGAGTTTATTGCAGTGAATTTTGTTGAATATAAATACGACGGTGAGACAACTCAAAAGTTGATTCGTAGAGAAGCTGAATGCCATCAATCGTGTGTTTTTTTCCCATTTTGCACTTGTTTGGCAGTTACACAAGCCGGAGGTGCCCGGAGGACCCACCCGACCCAGTGAAGAATCCCATCATTTCCCAGGTGTTGGAGATTGATTACGCCAACAATGGCGATCGTTGCCAGGAATTTAGGTTGGGTATCAAGAAGGGTCACAAACTCTTTTTTTGAACGTAGCGCTTTACTTATTTTTGTACAGGTTTTTCTGGCAGTGCACTACCTGCACAATCAAGGGATTGTGCATCGCGATATGAAGGCGGGTAACGTACTCCTATTTAGCAACGGTTTGGTGAAATTAGGTGACTTTGGGCTGAGCAAATGTGAAGCTTACTTACTATTGGATCACTTGTGGGGACACCGCATTACCTAGCACCTGAAATATGACAACGTAAGCCGTATGGGACGAAGGCGGACATGTTCTCTTTTGGAGTCCTGTTGTATGAAATTTTTGCTCTAAAATGACCGTTTGAGGGGGAAGATGCTGCTGAAATCAGGCAACGTATTTTGGAATGACCACCTGAGATACCGCGACAGTTCCCTCCTGAATTTGAAAATACTGTGCGTGCCTTGTTAGAGAAGGATCCTGATTTGCGTCCTTCCGCCGTGGATGTGTTGTTACTGCCGCTAATGCGACTCATCGTGGCGATGCTGCTGGAGTATGTTATTAGTAATGATGTGGAAGGCACCTCAAGACAGCGGCGAGAGTGACAGAACAGCAGTCGGAGTCACACTTCCACAGATAAATTTTATCAGCTGAAAGAAAGGTCAAGTTTGTACTATCGTCTCTTGTCACCTGAATGAAAGTGTTGCTTGATTTGAGCTGTGAGTACAGGTAACTACTCAATCAGACGGTAACTCTGTCGGATGAAGCAGGCTGCATCAAATTACAGTTATCCGAGTTTAATGTGTTGGCAACGACGACTTCGCATGTGCTTCTTGAAGCTGTTTTACTCAAAGTGATAGATGCTGGACGGTGCGCTATTTGTGACTGCAGTGGGCATCACCTCCAAATGATGTGAAAAAGACACAGGAATTGCGGTATTCGAGAGCTATTGAATTGGTTTTGCCCTTTTAAAAAAAGAATCATCCGGACAAGTTTCTAAACGTGTGAGTTTTTTTCTTCTTCTTTTTACTGCTTTGAGGTTCCTGAGGACTACGCCATGGGCAGAGGAAACTAAACTATGTATTTGCACTGCTAACCAAGACGGGAGAAGAGGGCATGGCTTCAAGCCGCTTCCGAGGAAGAGCGTCAGCGATGGATATCTCTCTGCTTTGCCTCCATTCACTACCAGCACTTGACTGGGGATACATTTTCTCCGAAAGATGACCCGGCCTTTTTCCGGCATACGGATTCTACCAGGAGTTTTGAAAACATGCGGGCACTATCGTTATTTGCTTCCAGTGCTATGTCACAACGCTGTGGGATTGGCGTTAGGCCAAATATGGCGAACAACACGTGAATTCATCTCTTACCTGGTGGTGACACCGCATTTTTTTCTGTGTTTTCTTATGAATAGAAACTTATTGTTGCTTTCTTGTTGTCGTCGTTCTTTTGCAGCGTCACCGATAGAAAGCGAGAGCAGGCACCATCGTTCGTGAACGCACAGTACAGGCCACTTTACGTGTATGGGTGTGTCCCCACTCCTGTGAAGATAAGTAGTATCAAAGGCAGAATTGTTTGAATGACCTCCAAATACATAAAAGAAAAAAAAAGAGGCTTCTTTAGAACCTCACGGTTCTGCGGCATTATTATTTGGTATCATTGCATACACATGCTGCACGTGTCTGCTCTCTGTTATTGTTTTTAAGTTCAAAGGGAGTGGGATATGTGTATGGTTTAGGGAATGTCATATGTCCCTTTTTCCCATCGTTTTTTTTTTATTTACTTTTCCTTCCTTTCTTAAATTATTTTCTTTTATTTTTCATATTAGGCCCAAACAGTATATTTTTTTCTTCACTTTTTATTTTTGGCTTGTATGTGTGCGTGCGTCGTGTCTCTGTCGTCCTGCCATGCGTAAGTATGCGATCAGTGTGGAGAAGGCTGGTGGAATCGCCCATGTGCACATCAATATTTCCACCAATTCTGTGTCTTTCCGCAGGGGTGCAGTATGTGTGCTACGGGTAATTTCAACTATCATCGTGCGTATGTTGGTGCGTCCCCCGTTTTATCAATTGGGCACACATGAATAAACTACGCCTCCGAAGGCATAACATCTTCAAAATGTGCTGCGGTGTTTCCTTTTGTTTCTTTCCCGGAATTTCTTATTTATTTTCTGGCAAAGAATCTGCGATCTGAGTGTGACGTACAAGCACGCCTTTTTTTGCCAAAAAAAATACGTGTGGTTCTTGAAACGCATCGGTAGCGATATTTGCACGAGATGTGAACCCTGTTTGTGAAAGACATTCTGCCCTGCACCGTGCGTTTTGGCGTGGCCTCCGGTGTGGTATTCCGCCATCAAGAAGGAAGTGCATGCGCCCTCAACTCTCCCAGCCGAAAAATCGTCCTGCACTTTGGGCCTGAAGGGGGGTGAAGGAAAGTAGGCGGAAAGAGTCGGTGCCCCTTTTGCCGCAACGTGTAATGATTCTAGCTCCCCGTTCCCTTGGCACGGCAACGTGCGCGGTGATGCTACTTCTCACCGCCAAGAGCAACCCCTTCAGCTCGAGCCACTCTTGCATAGATGAAATAACAAAGTTGGTTGGCATTACCTTTTCCACTCGTGCGCAAGGTGGGGTGCTCCCCAACCCTCCCTTCCTCCCTCCCCGGACCTCCGCAACTGACGCCTAAGAGAAAACATATGGCACATACACTCACGCATACACGAAACAAACAAACAACCTCCCAACACCAATAACATCAACGAAGATGTCGGGTTACTTGCAGCATCTCTTCGACACCACCTCTACACGTATGCTCAGGAACAGCAACTGCCGTGAAATTAGTCAAGAAGGACAAGACCAACATTTGCCTCCGTTGGCCGCAATGAGGTGAGGGGAGGGGATATCGATTTCCAGTAAAAAAAAAACGGGAATTAAAAAAAAAATGTCACTTCATAAAGAAGCGATAGTAACGCCGCTATTCAGTCGCCACATATTAAACTGCGCACATTTTTCACCTTCTCTTTTTGTCTTGCTCTGTTCTTCGTTTCCTAGAGTCGTTCTACGATTACATTCCTTGACAACAATACTTCAAAAAGCCTCAGTGCTGGGCATCACTCTGGACACAGTCAAAACAAACATCTCTTTTCGACGATGATACATCTGAACTCCAACGACGCGATGATCGCGCGCGTGTGTCGCACGTTCAGCGATGCCTTTGCAATGGATGAAGCGACGGCGAAGGAGCGGGGGAAGAAGTACTGGGTCAGTCGAGTTCTGGGTTCTGGTGCGACCGGCACCGTACTGTGTGCGAAGCGCACGTCGGATGGGGAGTTTTTTGCCGTGAAGGTTGTGGACATGGAGGGCATGTCGGAAGCTGACAAGAACCGCGCACAGGCGGAGGTGCACTGCCTGCTGAACTGTGACTTTTTTTCCATACTGAAGTGTTACGAGGACTTTGCAAAGAAGGACCTTGCCGACGAGGAGAATGTTTTGATGATGGCACTGGTGCTTGACTACGCAAATGCCGGGGATCTCCGCCAGGAGATCAAGAGCCGTGCCAAGGCGTCGCGAACATTTCGTGAGCACGAGGCAGGTCTTCTTTTCATTCAAGTCTTACTTGCGCTTCATCACGTGCACTCGA